TTTCTGACTCATTTATTTCTGCTTTAATCTTCATTTCTTTTGGTGACTGTAGGTTCCCTTTGTTGGTCTGTTTCTAATTATTGTAGATACTTTGTTAATGTGTTAATTTTGGTTCTTTCTTCTTTTTGGATGTGTGCACTTATTGCAATAAATTGTCCTCTCAGCACTGCTTTTATTGTTTCCCAAAGATTTTGGTATGTTGTATTTTTGTTCTCATATGTTTCTAGGAACTTTGTGTGTTCATGTTTAATGTCTTTTATTACCCAGTTGCTTTTCAACTGGATGTTATTCATTTTCCATATATTCAACTTTATTTCCTTCCTAGTTGATTGCTAGTTTAATAGCATAGTGGTCTGAAAAGATGCTTTGTAGTATTTTGATGTTTGTCAGTTTATGGAGGCTTGTTTTATGGCCTAACACATGATCAATTCTGGAGAATGTTCCATGTGCACTGCAAAAGAATCTGTATTGTGCTGTTGTTGGGTTGAATGCTCTATACGCATCTATGAGGTCAAGTTGGTTGATTGTGCTGTTTAGTTCCTCTGTATCTTTGTCAAGTTTCTTTCTGGTTATTCTATCCCTCAGGAAAGTGGTGTATTAAAATCTCCCACTATAATTGTAGATTTGTCTATTTTTTTTCTTCAATTCTAGTAGGATTTACTTTATATGTCTTGGTGCTTTTTCACTGGGAGCGTAGATATTTATTATGGTTATGTCATCTTGCTCAATTGACCCTTTAATAATGAGATAGTGTCCTTCTTTATCTCTTCTGCTGGATTTTGCCTTAAAGTTTATTTTATCAGAGATTAGTATTGCCACTCCTGCTTGTTTTTTTATTGCAATTAGCTTGGTATATTTTTTCCCATCCTTTACTTTTAGTCTGTTTTTGTCTTTGTGTGTAAGGTGTGTCTCTTGCAGGCAGCAAGAAGGGTCTTGTTTTCTTATCCATTCTGCCACTCTCTGTCTCTTCATTAGTGCGTTTAATCCATTGACATTTAGTGTAATTATCAATAGGTATGTGTTAGTTTTTCATGTGGTTCTGTTCTTTCCTTTGTTCTGCATGTCTTCTTGTGCCTTGTTCATGTTGTTTGTGCTATTTCTTGTCAATTTATTCTTAGTTTTCATGTTCTACTTGGATCTTCAGTTTCATGGTATGTTGTGAAGTATTAACTTTCTTTGTGGTTACACTATAGTCTACTAACTTTTCCCTCCATTTAAGACCATCTATTGTATCCTGCAATCTACCTGACCTCCTTACCACCTAGATCTCTATTCCTATATTTTCCCCTTTTGACATTGTTATTATTTTGATCTTTGATTGACCTCCCAGGTCCTCTGAATTCATTGTTATAATTTTGTTCTGTTCTGGACTCTACTCTACTATCTGTCAACTGAGTTCTGGGTGGTATTGCCATGTCTGTCAATCTCTGGTTGTTTTCTACTCTTGTTGGTTTTCAGTCCAAAGAGCTTCTTTTAGGATGTTTTGAAGTGCAGAGGTGGCTTTGACAAAGTCTCTTAGCTTCTGTTTATACTGGGATGTTTTTAATTGCACCATTGTGTTCGACTGACAGCTTTGCTGGTTAGACAATTCTTGGTTGGCAGGTTTTTTTTCTCGTAGTGTTTTATATATGTCTCCTCATTGCCTTCTTGTCTGCATGGTTTCTGCTGAGAGGTCAGAGCTTAATCTAATTTGCTTGCCTTTATAAGTAACAGTTCTTTTTTCCCTGGCTGTTTTTATGATTCTCTCCTTGTCTTTGATTTTTGGAGAACTTGATTATGATATGTCTTGGTGATTTTCTTTTGGGATATATCCTTCCTGGGGTTTGTTCAGCTTCTTGAATGCTTATCTTCTCCTCCTTCAAGATGTTAAGGAAATTTTCTTCCAGAAGATCCTCAACTATCTCTTCTGTGGACTTCTGTGATTCTTCCTGTTCCAGAGTGCCAATAATTCTTAAGTTATTCCTCTTCATGTTATCCTACATGAATCTTATACTGTCTTCAGATTTTTTATCCTTTTTTTCTGCTTGCTCTTCTATTGAGAGACTTGTCTTCCAGCTTGGTGGTTCTGGCTTGCATATTTTCAATTCTACTCCTTTGCCCTTTCAGTGTATTGTCCATTTCTGATATTTTATTATTAATCATCTGGACCTCTTTTTGCAGGTTTTGAATTGTTTCCAATGCTATATCTATATTGTTTGATTGCTCCTGTAGCACTTTCCTGACTTCTTTATTTTCCTCCACCCCTCTTTAAAGCATTTGGATTTGTCTCCATATCATTCTTCTGAATTCCTTCTTAGACAGATCCAAAGCCTGTTCTTCTTCTAATGGGAAGTCCATGTCTGCCTCCAGCTCATTTGTCTAAGTTACTCTTTTCTGTTTCTGGACATGTTTTGATATCTTTTGTTGTTTTTTCTTGGATATTTTCAATAGTTAGATATGTTTTCAATGATTAAATGAATGTATGTTGCTGTGTTGTTAAGCTTCCTGAGTATCTCCTGGTGGGTGTGATCTGGAGACAGGCTTCCCCTTTCATGTCTCTTATTACTCAACTGCTAGCTATCTTAGCAGGTGTTGGCTATCTATGTAATGCATAGCAGCTGGTATTGGCTCCTGTCTGGATGGTAAGATATTATGGGGTATGCTTGTAACTTGACCATATGGCCATGATTGCTGTCTCTTCTTGGGTAATGTAGGGAGAAAAATCTCCCACCCCCAGGAAAAAAGTAATACCAAAAGGACCAAAACAGAAACAATATAAAAGCAGAGACAAAAACTCAGCACACAAAAACAAAAACAAAACTGTACAGACTGTCCAATAGCCTTTGCTGTGCAGGTCAGTGTGCAGTAGTAGAAACCTCCAGAGGTGGGTGCGGGCGTCCACTTGCTCCCCCAGTCACTGCCATGGAGGTACACAGGTAGATATTGATAAATGAATGGGTGAAAGATTGTTCACAATTTTATCTCTGAATGTCAGGTATCTACGTATGCACAGTGTAATTCTCAAAATGACTGTATCCTTGTATATAGTAGTTGGTGTTGGCTCTTGCCTTTTATGTTGGGATTTTACAAGGTGCCAATATGGTTTGGCTGTATGGTCTTTTGTTAGGTAAGGCAGGTAGAAAGGCTCCCGCCCAAGTAAGAGAGTCAACTTTAGGGCTAAGTACCAGAGTCAGACGTCATAAGAAGCAGCCAAAGGATTAGCTTGTGGGACTGCTGGGGCTTTCACGGATTCCCTCTTTGCATTGTGAGAAAATTGTACCCTGTCGGTGCAATGCTGGACCCTTTTGGGGGTACACTCCCACTCACCTGAAGATGCCCGGGCTTGGCAGAGAGGGTGAGACAGGAGAGAGGAGGAAAGAAAAGTAAAAAAAAAGTCATCACACCTCTTTTTCCACAAGTAGCTTTCACGCTGTATCCACCTGGCTGTGGCCCTGCCCTCTGATCTCTGCCCAAGCTGTGGGCCTCAGGGAGCATACCAGTTGACTCTGAAATCACCATTTATTCCTGACACAGTCATATGTCTCCACTGGTGGGTACCGAAAACTGATGCCCCTCACTTATATTAGATCTAAAGCTCTGGAACTGTTCCAGCAAAGCACCTTCTCTGGTTTATTCATGCCTCCACCAGGAGTCTCTGCTCTCTGTCTCCGCTTCTTCTGACCCCAAACCAGAAATCCCCAAATATACCTTTATTATTGTTAAGTACCATCAAGCTGATTCCGACTCATAGCAACCCTGTATAGGGTTTCTGAGAAGCAGTTAGTAATTTGAACCGCCAAACTTGTGGTTCAAACCAACCTTTCAGTCCAGTGCATTATTCCACAGTGCCACACCAGGACTCCAAATATATCTGTTGTTGTTGTTGTTAAGTACTGTGGAGTCAGCTCCAACTCATAGTGACCTTGCACAGGGTTTCTGAGGCTGTAAATCTTTACAGGAGCAGAACGCTTCATCTTTCTCCCACGGAACCACTGGTAGTTTCGAATTGTTGACCTTAAGGCTGGCAGCCCGATTCATAACCACTATGCTACCAGAGCTCCTAAATATATCTGTAGGAGACCTTTTTTTTTTTTTTTTTTTTTTTTTTTTTTTTTTTTTTTTTTTTTTTTTAGTCTACTACCAATGTGCAGAATTTCACAAGCATATTTAATCAAAGAATAGATTTTTAAAGAAGGGATAGTAACATCCCCTCATAGTGATCCCACAGAACGTATTCTAGAGGCCACTAAGTTAACTGCTACCGTGCAAAACAAACCAAAGTGTGCGCTTAGTCTTCTCTGCTATATAGTAAACTGTTAGGTATTGGGCCATTCTGGGCATCACAGAGCACCTTCCCTTCAAAGTGGAAGCAACCACTTGCTAAATGGTTAAACAGTCTTTCCTAGCTCTAGGAGATAATTCTGCTTGCTATTCAACCATCCATTGTCATGCTCTGAAGCATGACAACTGCCATAGTTGAACACCTAGAACCTATTAGTCTATCAGTTGTTCTTGACAGAAAACAAGGTCAGGAACAAGAAAAGATAGGAGAAAACACCAAATTGAACTTTGTTAACATGGTGGCATGGTTGTCATGGTCTGATTGCCTATCAGCTTGCATGACCCTCTGTCCTCAGGGAGTAGCCTTGAGCCCTTGGCCAGCCTCCCAATTCCCACCAGCCAGTAAATGTTTTGGACATTTGTATTGGTCATACTTGGGAGTAGCTGAGGGAGTCTTGAGCCATCCTGGCCTTGGGCCACCCAGGCTACCACCTACTTTCTCCAGGAGAAAACCTGTTCACAACTGAGATTCCGAGTCAGCAGCCTGGTGTGCCCTTCTCCATAGCATTGGGACTTCTTGGGTCTGGGAGACAGCAAGACCTGAAGCCAACCTTCAGGGAAGAGTGCAAGGCGGGCCCCACCCATACCAACAGGAAGACTTGGGATCCCTTTTTAATTTCGGGTGGACATTGTGCTCAAGGTGAAATGATTTCATCACTTTGGTCACTCTCACTCACCAGCTTTTTGTCGACAAAGATACAATTGTTAATGCCGTTGGGGCATCGCATGACATCCACCTCCTAAAGATCGACAACAGAGAGGATGAGCTGATCACGAGAGTCAACTCTTGGTGCACGAATTTGGTGGACAAGGTGGGTGAACCCCTGCTCTAGCTGGCTTAGCCAGTTTCCCTAGCAGTCCGCCAGAGAGAAAGTAGGAATTATCTTTTCAATAAAAAATTCAGAAAGAAATAAAATTAAGAATTGTAGCATTCCACACTGAAGACCTTATTTGGCCCAGACAGAGGCCTTAAAGCCCACATACTTCATTTTTCTAACTCCTGCCTCAAATATGGAGTCCTGGTGTGGTGCTATGGGTTAATGCACAGGACTGCAAGGTCAGTTTGAACCTCAAGGTCGACGGTTCAATCTCACCAGCTGCTCCTCAGAAACCTTACACAGAGTCACTATGAGTCAGAACCGACTCGATGGCACTTAACAACAACAACCTCAAATATGTAAGGAGACTTCTAAAAAGTTTGCAGAAAAAAATGGAATGAAAAGATAATGGAAAATTTTCCACAGACTTGCCCTTCATATTTGTTGTTGTTAGCTGGTGCTGAGTCAGCTCTAAAGTATGACAATTCCACGTACAACAGAACAAAACATTGCCCAGTCCGACACCAACCTCATGATCACTGGCCTGGTGTGTGATGATTCCTCTATTGCCTCATCGGCTAATGGGGACATCTCTCAGCACCATATTGGACAATGCTGTGTTGTGATCCATTAGCTGATATTTGTAAGTAGATCTCCAAGCCTTTCCTCCTAGTCTGTCTTAGTCTGGAAGCTTCACTGAAATCTGACTGACTCTACTGGTATTTGAAACACCAGTGATGTAGTATCTATCTAGCATCATAGCAACATGCAAGCCACAACAATATGCCAAACTGACAGACAGGCAGTTGTTATTATTGTTAACTGCTGTTGAGTCCGTTCTGACTCATAGTGACCCTGCATAAGGTTTCTGAGAAGCAGCCGGAGGGGTTTGAACCACCAACCTTGTGGTTAGCAGTGTGGAGCTTATTCAGGACTCCCCTCAGATATATATTCACCAAAACACATTGGAAGAGGTGGAAAGGGTCATTAAAGTAAATGAGGGACTTATACTATGCAAATTTCAAAGAGCCAATTTACTTTATCTCACACTGGAGGTAATTCAAATGCTCCTAATTCAAATATTAAGTTAGCATCAATAGAAGATGTTAACTTAGTATTTGAATTAGGGACATTGTTTGGTCTCACTCCTAGATTCACACGGATGAAATCATGAGGAACCGTAAACGAGTGAAGGAGATCAATCACTACATTGACCACATGCAGAATGAGCTGGACAACCTGGAATTCACTGACAATCTCTTTTAGATGTAGAACCCTCAACTCCGGAAGGAAAAGTAGAGCACCTGCTGACCAATGCAGAAGCAGTTGCTGGAACTCCCCAGCCACTTTTACTAACACCATTCTTCCTCACCCTGCAACCATTTTCCAAATGTAGAAAGTAATAAAGGACTTTTGTGACCTTTCATCCATTCTTTAGAAGAAAACCAAATTCATATCCATGTACAAGGAGGGGAAATGGCCCCAAGGAGCAGCAGAGCCTCACAGGTGGCCAAGTGGCTACATGCCACTCCCAAGGGAGCAGTGGCTGGACTGGGCTCAAGGGTACTGCCAGACAGTGATTGCTGTGGGTTCTTCTGCTGAGCGCAGGGTAGAGTGAGTTGTGGATGATAAAGGACAGTCCATTGCACTACTGCTGTGGGCCTGGGCCATCGCTGAAGTTGGGAAGCGGGAACTGAGCTCCACAGGAAAGTCAGCCCCAGGGGAGGTGTGGGAACAGCACCTATCTCAAGTGCAGTGGCAGAGACAGGGACCAATACAGGAAGGGCATGAGTATGTGACCCCTTTAGTACTCAGGTGACCTCTGTTGCCAGAGTTCAGGGCTTTTACTACTTCCTTCCCTCAAGAAAGTAACCATGTGGGGAACCTAGGAGGACTGTGGAGAGACCCAGGCATGGAGGTATGATGATGACCGTGGAGGAGGACCCAAGTCTGGAGGACGTGGAGGTAACTGTGTGGAGGAAACCTGGCCATTGAGAATGTGGAAATGATCATATAGAAGGACCTGGGTATGGAGGATCTGGGCCTTTTTCTTTGGGGGACCTGGGCATAAAGAACATGGAAGTGATATGTAAAAGAACCTGGGTGTGGAGGTCATGATAGAGACTGTGGGGGGCGGGGGGATGACATTAGGCATAAGAAGAATGAGGATGGTCATATAGGGGAAACCAATTGTACTGGATAAGTCAATGACCTTGTGGGGGATCCAGGCATAGAAGACATTGTTACCTTTGTTAAGTGCCATCAAGTCAAGACGTTGTTACTGTTGTTAAGTGCCATCAAGTCAGTTCTGACCCACAACCCTATATAAGGTTTTCAAGGAGCTGCTGGTGAGGTTGAACCACCGACCTTGCGGTTCAAACCAACTTTGCAGTCCAGCACATTGGCCCACAGAACCACACCAGGACTCCCATAAAAGACATAGAGGTGACTATTTTGGGAGAACTGGACATGAAGGATGTAGAGGTGATTGTGTTGGGGGACATAGACTAGGAGAAGTGGAAGTGACAGGTAGGGGGACCCAAGCATGGACGACATGACAATGACCAGATTCAAGCATGGAGGACCCTGTTGGATGACCCGGGTGTAGAAGATGGAACAGTGACTGTGAGAGATGGGGCAAGGGTCTGGAGGACATGGTAATGACCCTATGGAGAGACTACAGTTGAAAGACATGATGGTGACTGTGTTGAGGGTGGAGAATGAGACAGTTAATGTGGGTGAGGATCACACCTGGAGGATGTGATGATGACTATGGGGAGACACCACACCTGGGTTTGAAGAATGTAATGATGACCATGTAGGGGAACCTGGGTGTGGAGGACTTAAGAAGTGACTATGTTAGGGACCAGGGAATGGAGGCTGTAATGGAGACTGTGGGGTCCCAGGTATTGAAAAGTGTGATGGTAAAACTGAGAATGGAGGACATGACAGTGACTTTAGTCAGGGGGGAATCATGACAGACATGGAGGTGACTGTGGTGGGGAACCATGGAAAACAAGAAAATAACTTGTGGGGTAACATAGGCATGGAGAACATGGAAGTGACTGTTTGGGGACTCAAATGTGGAGGACATACTATGACCATGGTGTTGGATCCAGGCATGGAAGGTGGGTGTTGGGGGACTTGGACATGGAAGGTGTGGAGGTGACCATGTGGGAAACCTGGACATGGATAATGGGACAAGGACTTTGTTGAGAGACCCAGACATGATGGGCGTGACACTGACCATGTGTGTGCATGGGGGGGGGAGGGGGAAGGACTGAATGAGCGAAGCTGGGTGTGGAGCACAACAAAGAAGGAAGACTGGACCTGGAGGACATACAATGATCCTGGTAGTGTTTTCTGGGGTTGAGGACACAGAGGTGACCATGTGAGGAACCTGAGTATATGACAGTGATCGTGTGGAAGAATTCAGGCATGAAGGAAGTGACGGTGACTATGGAGTGACCCAGGTCTGGAGAATGTAAATGTAACCTGGGTACATTCAAGGTACAGAGGATATGCAGTGACAGTGTGGGGACCAAGGATGGAGGAGGTAATGACTCTGATGGAGGATGGAGGTGTGGAGGGCATGAAGTGGACTATGCACACAATGAGAAAACTCAGGTGTGGAGGCAAAGACAGTGATGGAGGAGGGGAAGAGCAGACCAGGAGGATGTAATGATAACCCTGGTAGAGGATCCAGATGTAGAGGACATGAAGGTGACCATGGTGTGCAAAGGATGTGGAGGTAACTTTGTGAAGAAACCTGGGCATGGACCATATGGTGGCTTCTAGGTGTAGAAGAAGTATGGTGTCCATAAGGGGAATCTGGGCTAGGAGGATGTGGCAGTGGCTATGGGAAGGGCCTAGACTTGGAGACATGACTGTGACCCTGGTAAAACTTGTTGTTATTGTTAGGTGCCATCAAGTCAGTACTGACTCATAGCAACCTTATGCACAGCAGAACGAAACACTGCCCAATCCTGGGCCATCCTCACTACTGTTGTCACGCTTGAGTCCATCGATGCTGCCACTTGGCCAATCCATCTCGTTGGGGGTCTTCCTCTTTTTCTCTGACCCTCCACCTT